GTCTTTCATAAAGTTAGACAGTTATGAACCAAACTTTTCATGATCTTGTCTAAGATCCTAGTCTGGTAAGCTAAAAAATTTGTAGAATATTTTCCTAGCACCTGAAGTCACAAGATGCATTGTAATTTTTTTGACAGTGGGTTGTAATTTACTTAAACAATTGCTTCTAGACTGATCCTACCTGAGTGTGTCTTTACTCCAGGAAAGAAATACTTTTAGTCTATTTGCAGATTTCTGCCACCCAGGAACTCTCCTTTGTAATGGGGCATTTGCTCAATGAGAAACAGAAGAGTTCAGGACCATATGGTAAGAGGAGAGAATGAAGTTTGGTACACACTGTATCATGGAGAGCTTAGAAGGACCAGACCCTCTACAAGCCCTGAGACCTGTAGCAAGAAGAAGGGAGAGGAGTAGATAGGTGCTTGATGGGCATTTAACAAACAACCTTAGGCAGTGCCCAGGCTGGCCAGTGCTATAGCACCTGGAAGCCATGCTGAACTTATCCATCTCATCTTCCCCACCCCGCAGCTAGATGGGATTTATTGATTTATTGTGCCCATCCCTCAAGTCCCTGGCAGAATGCCCAGCATATGAAAATATTCTCTCTCTCTCTCTCATTCTTTCTCTCTCTACTTTCCTTCCCTCTCACTCTCTTCATTTCTCTCTTTAGAATTAGAACTGAAAGGGCTTGGTGTATGGATATAGTGAAATCTTTCTAAAACTACTAATTCCTGATTCTTAATTGATTTGATGCTTTATTTTCAAAAATGAATTTCCATTAAAGCCCTTTGACACAGATGATCTGTAAGTTACACATTATGTTTTCTGCTCCTCTCAGTGGGATAAGATAGGAGTAAGAATGAGGAAATGAGGGGAGAGGAGGAACTAGTTTGCTAACTAACTTGCACTAAAACTCAGGTCTCTGTCTCTTTGCGTCTTCAGGGCTCTAAAACACTGGCTGCGTTTCAAAAGCCAATATGATTGTAGCCAAAGGACTGATTGGCATTACTAAAATGTCATCGCACCATAGTACCCTTCTCTTTGTTCTTGTTCTCATTTGCCAAGCCAAGGGGTATTTGATCGTGAGTCCTTACAGTCGCCCTGTCTTTTCAACAAAAATATGCAGACAATAAAAGTGGCTAGAACCAGGATCCAGGCCTTGTCTAAAACCTGAGGCCATGATCCTAATGATCCTTTCTGTATTGAATATGTGAGCTCACAGCCACCCTGAAGAAAGGAAACCACAAGTTCAGCCAAGTAAAGACAGCCACTTCCAGAGTCCCAGCACTGTCTATCGCGCCATTGCAGCTTGTGCTATCTCCCTTGGCCACCCCGTTTGTGCTGGTGGGGAAGTGTGCCGGCCTCATGAGGGCAGGAAGACGCTTGAGTCCAGGGGAAAGGAAGGAAATCCACAGCACTAACACTCTTCTCTCCTGCTGAAGACATGTGCTGTCTGAAGCTAACTTATTGCTACTAGGTATCTCTTCGTTGGGAATGAATGCATATGGAATTGGAGTAATAGTTTTTTCTTCCATCAAGATATCTCCAGTCAGTCACCAAATGAATCCATTGAGCACCCTATGTGTCAAGGGCAACATTGGACTCTGCAGATACAAAGATCAATGATGTATATAGGATAGTCCTAAGGATAGATATAGCCATCAGTGGAACAAAAGAAAAGAGTTTAGAAATAGACTCACCCACATACAGTCAATCATTTTTGACAAGATAGCAAAATAATCTGCTGGAGAAAGACTAGTGTTTTCCAAAGATGGTGTGGAGCCTTCACCCTTGGGGGTACACACAAAAATAACTGGACTGAATCAGGAAAGCTAACACTGGGGCAGGGCACAAGGGCATTTTGGTGGTGAAGGAAATCACCTCATTTATTGTGGCAGTTACAGGGTTGATAACTTACCAAAAAACTCACTGAAATCCCTATCTAAAGTGGTCATACTTTATTGTGGGTACCTTATACCACAGTAAAGTTCATTAAGAGGAAACCAAATCCTGAAGCTATCTTGCTTAAAATTTCCTGATGAACTATGTAAGATCCCAATTTCATCCTTTGGCTTTGGAATCCCTAAGTGGCCTGTCTACTTCCCTAAGGCATCTGGTACTAAACGGACCCTTGTTTTCTTACCAGTGTCTTTGCTTTTCTTCCTTCTTGCTGCAGTACTTACCTCCCGTGTATTGACATCGCTGGTCATAGCTCAGGGGCCACCTTCCCAGTGAAGTCCTACCTGCTTGACTCAGCCCTCAGAGCCTTCTGGTGTTTTTCAAAGCATCCTTTACTAACTGAAATCCTTGTTTATACATACGCTTATTTACTGCTTCTCCCATGAGAGTGTAATCTCCCAAAACATGAAGATCTACTCTTGGCATCTCTAGGACTGAGAATAGTGCTTTGCACCCTAGCAGATGTCCAGTAAGTATTTCTGAGAAGCACAAAAGTAAGGAAGTGATAGGCATATACATACTGCCATGCCATAACATAGGTGACAGGGAGACCTTGAAGACTGCCAAGTAAAGGAATGGTGCTGCATGATTTGGAGTGTGCATTGGTAACTTTACCAGTGGTCATGGGGATCGGAGAAAGATTGCCCATCATGGAGAAGGCTGGCAAAAGAAAGTGACAAGGATGGTACAGATCTAAGTAAGGGTTAAGAGGAGAAACACAGCATTCTGGGAGGATAAGGGCTACCACTGAATTGAGGATATTCCTATACACACCTGCACTGAGGAGGGTCCCCTGGATGATAGAAGAGATTCAAGAATGAAACATATCATATTCTGCATATAAGACAATGTGTTTCCTTTACAACAATAGTTTTGAGTGATCTGCAGAACACACAGGTCAGGATGTCCAGTGGGAAGTTGGTAATATCAACCTGAAACCCAAAGAAGAGTCAGGACTGGGGACATGGGTACGGGTATGGGAATGAGGAGGTTATGAATGAGAATTAAAGGCATGGGATAAAACTTTAGAAAGTTAACTGTGGTAGCCTGACAGCATGACTAATGCCGGTATCCCTGGCTATTCAGGAGGCTGAGATCTGAGAACTGAGATTTGAAGGAAGTCTGGGCAGAAAAGTACATGAGTCTCTTCAGTTAGCCAGCAAAAAGCCAGAAGTGGGAGTGTGGCTTAAGTGATAGAGTACCAGCCTTGAATGAAAAAGTTAAGAGAGAGTAGCCTGAGTTCAAGCACCAGTACCAACACACACACAAAAAAAAAAGAAAGAAAGAAAAGAAAGAGGGAGGCAGGCAAATTAGCTTACATTTTTTTTGAAGAAGAAGAAGAAGGCCCAACTCTAGGGGTTAACTAACTTTAAGGAGTGAAAAGAGGAGGAACTTGCAAAGACTAAAGACTGTTGAGAGCAATCAGGAGAAGCTAAGGAAATGATGAAAAAGTTTTGAGAAAGAATAGTTCCTTGTGTCAATTAAGTATTTGGTAAGAGGAAGGAATAAACTTTGCAAGCCTAAATTCCCTGAGAAAGAGCTGTTTTAGAAATAGAAAATGGTAATATGGAGAGTAAATGGTAAGTGAGGAAATGAGTTTAAGATACTGAATGTTTTCCAGAAATTGAGAAGATAGCAATCATTAGGAGAACACTGGTCTTGGTTGCTTGTATGTACACTGTTGGTTGTACACTGGTTGTATGTACACTGATGGCTATATGTACACTGATGGTTGATTCTGCAGCTGAAAATGTCTGTAAGTATTATGAGAAAAGAATATGAACTGATTGAGCATAGGCAAACATTGCCAGGTATCACCAAGGGCCTAGCAAGCACTTGGGAGAATTCCTTCATTTTCGTAATAAGTAATGGTTGTGCAATTCTCTCCAATCATGCTCTGTTCCCCTGGGTGTAGTTGCCAGGATGACAAATGCTTGGCTTCATCAAAGTCATATACTGGCAGAGCAAATGTGGCATGAGGACAAGGGGTCAAGACATTGGAGAATGTGATTGACTTGAACTGAAACAGAAATAGGGTGGGAAACAGGTAGGGTGGGAGACAGAGAGCAAGAAAAACAGAAGAGCTAGAAAGCCAAGTGAGGAAGCTAAGGGACATGGAAGAACGATTGGCTCCAACTAAAGATAGTTTATTAGAACTCAGTAATTACTTGGAACTTCAGAACTTAGAATTTGGAGGGCTGGGTGTTACCCTAGGATACCAGATAAAATGGAGAATCTAGGAACAGGGTGAAGGTTAGATCTTTGGACATAGAAGTATAGTCACCCATAAAAAGTCATCTCATACATCCTGATGCAGTTCACAAGGCTCTGGGAGGCAGATGAAGATCATACCCAGGGAATTCTGTGAGTGAGTATCAGGAAACCAGAATACAGACAAGGAATAAGCTGTGGAGTTCACAGGCACATGTGCAGTTAGTTATGTACCCTGGATGCTATCAAGGGCAGCTACAAGGATGCCAGGCTGATTCTGAACTTCTTCATATTGCCAGCAGAGTTTGAGCTGGGACCAATGTAATAGATGGGAAGGGCTGAGACACTGCTTTGGTGAATATTCAGGCCATCCGCAGGAAAGACAGCTGGTGGGGTCAGAAGAGACCTTAAAATACACAATGAAAAGAATCCCAAATCTTCCCCCTCCCACCCCATCCTCTGAGTGCTGGAGATGAAACCTAGAGCCTTGCACATATATGCTTAGCAAGCTTTCTACCATTGAGCTATCCCCCAAATCAATGTTGAACTCTTGAAGTAAGATGACATTAGTGTAACATAAGAAATATATCTGGTCCTGTTAAGAACTATATGTTTTAATACAAAAGCAAGTTATGCTGTTATTTATTTTAAATGAAATTTAACATTGGAATCTTTTCTGAATATGTTTTAAGAATTATATAGGTTCATAATTTAGCTGGATTGCTATATTTTGCAAAAAGTATTATAAATGTTCATATTTATATGTATAAGTATTCATGTTTATTGGTATGTCATTTTTGTTTTTAATAGAGTCTTTCTTTCTTTAACAGATTCTTAGTCAAGCACCACCTCCATGGATCCAGGACAGGTTTGTCCCATGGCCTGCTCTGAACAGTGTGTTTTCTGATAGAAGATTCCATTGGCAAACCATCTATTGCCTTACCGAACAAGCTAAGAAGATGGATCTGTTGAAGAACCATCTGACTGTGTGCTTTCTACCTTCTGTGCCCTTTCTAATCCTAGTGTCCACTCTAGCAACTGCTAAGAGTGTCAGTAACAGCACTTTAAATGGCACTGACGTGGTCTTGGGCTCTGTGCCCGTAATCATTGCCAGAACTGACCATATCATAGTCAAGGAAGGGAACAGTGCCTTGATTAATTGTAGTGTTTATGGCATCCCTGACCCGCAGTTTAAGTGGTATAATTCCATTGGCAAGCTGCTGAAAGAAGACAGCGAGAAGGAAAAAGGAGGTAAGCTTTAAAGTTCTATCAAATGTCATTGGTTGTAAACATGGATGTGAGAGTTAGCACCCTTGATTGTTAGATGTCTCATGCAATTCATCTTTTTGTTTAACAAAAGCAAAAACAAAAGAGAATAATATATATCCTCAAGGATTCAAAGCAGTAGTAATTCTTTTGGTTTCTATTCACTGGCTCAGAAAACAAAGGGCAACCATTGAAGTCCTTTTACAAAGTGACTTGGAATTTTATAATGCATTCAAAACATTAGATAGAGACAGATGTAAGATGGATTTCCCCTGTCAGGTTCCATTGATAAGAGAGTTTTTTTTTTTGTCTCACAGAGAAATGGCTCAAATAAACAAAGTAGCAGTTGTTTATCATTAAATGTCACTTTAATTCACTGACTGTGCATTTGAAGACCACACTTCTTAAAAGAAGTCTCTGTGCAAATTCCCAACCACCCAGTGGGATCATTGTGGGTTCCTGGGGGACATGGCTGAAGTTTCTGGGCTGAGGTCCAGAGGAAAGGGGGACGCAATAGTAACAAGTAACGAGAGGCAAAGGTAGAATGCTTGTTTTTTAATGAATGAGTTTGGGACCAAAAAGTGTAACTCCCATTTCTAAGCCCTGAGCTTTTTCAGGAAAGACTCCAGCCAGAGAGAGGATTGGGATCAATGCACTTCTTGTTTTAGATGTGAGAAGTAATTGTCTGAAAACACTAGTCTGGTCTCATTGACCTGAAGGAGTTAATCTACTTTCCTCAGCAGGCCACTGGGGGTGGGAAAGTAAAGAAACCATTGTTCAGAAATAGCAGCTTATTCCTTTCTTCCCATCCCTTAGCCTTTTAACCAATGAACAATCCTCAGAAGGGTTTCTGCTCTAGGAAAACCTACATTTTTAATCTCTTTCCTTCATTTTATCTTAATTGCTGTGAGGAAGGATAGAAATGAACACCTTCTATCTCCTTAGGAGTTTCTCAAAATTACATGATTCCGGTTTCCCGTGTGTTTCCAGTAGAGTTGCCTAGCTGCCTGTGTTATGGGGGTCTGGCTGTCACCATGACACTGACATTGCTCTTTGCTTAGCCATCCAATGCTGTAGGGTATAGTAAAGCTGATCCTTTACATCAAAATATTATGTACTATGAATTATATGTATGTTTGATCTAGGAGAATTCCTAATCCTGTAAAATTAAGGGACCATAAAATGCTGACTGAAATTTGCTAGAGGTCCTGCTGCTCATTAAGTGGCTATGACTAGAATCTTCATAACTGACAGTGAAGAGATGAGGAAACATCACCCCTAGCCCAGACTCCTTTCCATCCCCGCAGATGTTTCCTCCATGGACCATGAGTCAAAAACAAGGTAACATCGCTCTTAGGAAGTGAGGGCTGTAGCCATGGTAACTTCCACACTCAAACCCCTATATCTACCTAATCAGGTCTTTTTGTAGGGTCGGACCACCGCTAGGGATGTCAGGATGACTGAGGGGAACAAGGATTCAAGATGTGAATCTACCTTTCACCTGGACCATGAAGCAAAGGTTATTCCTGTATGTTAAAGACATGGCACTGAAAAAAAAAAAAAGAAGAAAAGTATAGGAACAACAGAGATGGGACCTTAATTTCTGTCAGCATGTTTGAGCATGCTGTCTCAGAGAAATCTGCAGTGTCTTAATTGAAAAGGCCCTTGTAGCTATGGACTTAGTCTTGGAAGACAGACAGACACTGTGCATTGGCATCTTCATATAAATATTGAAGAGTTCAGACCAGATAACAGTCACATGAGGCTCAGTTATCTTTCATTGTGAGACCAAGGTGGCCTGTAATAGTGGCCCATCAGTAAATTACAAGGTAGCTGCTGGAAAGCCTTTGGCAGGCAGAACTGCTCCATCAGAATTCAGCACTCCCCTTCTTTGTAGCTAGAGGCCTTGCCGATATAAGTCAATTTCCTTTTAAAAATCTCCTAAAGAAAATGCATTTTCAGTTTTTAAAATGACTCATAGTACTAGTAACTTGATGTTCCAGCTCGGCCTTTATAATTACAAGTGCATAATAATAGTAATTCCAGAGCATAAGTAGCATGGGGTAATACACACAGTGTTACAACTAAGAAGCACATAGAAAATCACAAAAGTTAAAAAAGGAAAATATCAAAACTGAAAGATTCCTCCTCATAAAAACATTAGAACCATGGTACTAGAATAGGCTATTAAAGAGCTCATAGACTTTGCCTTTCTTTGTTTGTTTGTTATAGTCAGTCATGGGGCCTGAACTCTGGGCCTGAGCATTGTCCCTCAGCTCTTCAGCTCAAGGCTGAAGAGCTCTACCAATTGAGCCCCACTTCTGGCTTTTTCTGCTTTTGTGGTGCTGAAGAATGAAACCCAGGGCCTCATGCATGCAAGGCAAGCACTCTACCTTTGAGCTACTTTCCCAGCCCTGACTTTTCTTTTTTTCTTTTTGTCTGTTGTGGGACTTGAACTCTGGGTCTGGGAGCTGTCCCTCAGCTCTTCAGCTCAAGGCAAGCACTCTACCACATGAGCCACTGCGCCACTTCCAGTTTCCTGGTGGTTTATTGGAGATAAGAGTCTCATGGACTTTCCTGCCCAGGCTGGCTTTGAACTATGATCCTCAGATCTCAGCCTCCTGAGTATCTAGGATTACAAGCATGAGCCACTGGTGTCCAACCCAATTTTTCATTTTGGATAGAGCAAATACTTGTTTTGTAGCACCATCGTAGGTTTTATTTTTCGAACCAACTGGCTAGAAGTTTAAATCTTGCAGTTACAAGTCGACCAAGAAGGAGTTGAATATCAAATGGAAAATGATGCTAATATAGAACCTTTCCTAAATACCACAACTACCATTTAAACCTAGCTAGCAAAATGAAGATCATCTTCATCAACAACTGCCATTTATTAAGCCCCTGTGGTTAGATGTATTATTTCTGATCCTTAAGTAGGATAGCAAGGTGTTACTAATCTTCACATGGGAAACCAAGTGGAAGGACAGAATCTTGCACAAGTCAAGTGTGGCTAGCTGGTGTTGATTCTAACCTCTGTGCCCAGCTAACATCTGCTTAATCTCAGTTGGGAAGAAGGGTCGAGGAGCATGGAACCCAGCCTGGGTAATGGAAGGAATACCATCCAAGTTGGACAGAGTTAGAATTGGTGTTGTAGGGCCTGTATGTACATGACATGAACAAGACAGAACCTAAAGGAACAACACAAGTGAGTCCCACCAGCTTAGGGAGGGATTAATCAATCTTTGGGAATTCAGCAGGCAACTCCAAAGGACATCTAACACAAACTCAGGCTTTTATAAAAGGCACATTTATTTGTCAATATAGGAGAACTGAAATGTGTTGTTTATATTATTAAACTGCCGTTAAATTGATTATATTATTGTTTCTAATCTTAAATTGGATAACAATGTGTCCTAACTTACTGGATATTTTGAGTTATTATTTGTTAGGTTGATTTATAATTTCTATACTCTTCGTGTGCATCCGTGTATATTGTAGGTCTGTCATGGCCAGCACCCCTACCAAATCTGTAATATTTCAACAGTCTTCATCATCTAACAAGTTGCTCCTGGAACACAACATCATTCATTTTGTGATTTGTCTAGAAAGAGGCAATTTCTTATTTGCTGAGAAAGTAAGATAGCTGTTATTGACATCAGTCCTGTGGGTTCTAGAAAGAACTGGATTATCTTCTGTGGCGCAGTTGGTCTGCTTGAGTCCCTGATGCTCCCCAATTCCATCTGTGTAATCTATAGTTGGGAGAGCATTTTTTGTTGTTGTTTTTGTTTTTCCTTAGTAGTTCACCAAAGAATCTGTGTGCAATGATCTACGAACCATGCTCTGGAAATAACTGAGGAAACAAGCAACATGAGTAACCACACATGCTTACAAAATGTACTGTTTTAAGTTTTTGTTTGGCTAGGGGTGAATAGAAATGTCTAGCTGCCAGAAAAATGTGTGGGGGAAAAAGTGCCAGTTATTTCAGGAATTAATTATCCGATGTATTTTTGCCACGACATCTTACAGAGACCTTAAACCATCTACACTAACATTTCTTTTTTATTTTTTGTCAGCCATGGGGTTTGAACTCAGGGCCTGGGCGCTGTCTCTGAGCTTTCTCACTCAACACCAACACTCTACCCCTTTGAGCCACTCAGCACTTCTGGTTTTCTGGTGCTTAATTGGACATAAGAGTCTCACAGACTTTCCTGCCCAGGCTTGGGACTGAGATTCTCAGATCTCAGCCTCCTGAGTATCTAGGATTACATGCTGAGCCACCAGTGCCCAGCCACAGGAACACTTATCAGATAAGTAACAAGTGTTTCAAGAAAGTCAGCTGATATAAGCCCTTGTAAGCAGCCTTGACTTGTTAGAGAGTAAGTTTTAAATTCTTCTTCAAGTTAGGTTTCTGACCTTACTGTGAATTTAATTTGCATATTTCTATATAACCAAAAACCCTTAAGAATTTTTATTTAATAAATATGTACCTGAGTAATCTGAGCTGAATTGTAGATCTTCACGGTGGTTGGCATTGCAATTGTAGCATTGTGGAATTCATTACCACAAATTTCACCTCTGTTGCTTTGCATATTTTAATAGATTGTGCAATGACTTTTAACTAGTTCTGCAAGGTACAACAAGCCAGCGAAGTTTTAAGAATGTAGTTTATCAGCTCTCTACTTTACACACGGACACACACACTATATATATGTGCACACATATATATTGTATACATAGAAACATGTGTACATTTGCCTAATTCCGTGGTTCTCACTGCTACCTATTTCCCCTCAAGAGTCTCTGTGGCCAGGTCTGGAGACTTGGCCTCTAGTGGGTAGAGGCCAGGAGGGATGCTGCTAAACAGCCTACGGTGCACAGGACAGAGCCCTACAGCAAAGAATTTTCCAACTCAAAATACAACAGGGCTCAAATTGAGAAAACTCTGGTCAAGCCCTAAGAGTACCTGCAAAGGGGCCTAATATGTTGGACCTAGGTTCATTTTCAAAATTGGACCATACTACTGGCTAAGCTGGTAACCATTTTTATGTTTCCTTAGTGAGTTGGGCTCCATTTGGAATGTGAGCCCACACAGCTTCAGTCTTAGCAGTGAAAAGAACCCCTCCAGATCCACTTCAGATAAGGATAACAACCAAGATTCCCCCCAAACTAGAAGTTATTTATAGGAAGCAAGGGGAGGGTGCTTTTGTTTTGGAAGACCACTTGTAGATCTTCCCAGGAAAGATTATTGCTAGCTCTCATGAAATTACATGCTTCTCCTTTAAAACAAAACAAAAAGATCAAATTAGCAAAGGATCAGAAGTGTCCTTTTCTAAAATATAAAAAGGCAGTAGGATCTTTTCAGATATTCATACCTTTACGCAAAACAGAGCTGTAGATTCTGAATAGCAAAATCCTTTTATGCCCACCTTCTTGAGCCAAAAGCTGAAGTGAGCTGCATTATCCCAGGTCAGGGGTATTCCACATGCTGTAGGAAGTAGCCTTTTAGGACGGCCCGAGCACTCTCTGAAGAGCTCTCTTAGGAGGATTGAGGGTGTGAGGCACAAGGGCCCTTGCAGCTTGTGGAGTTTATAACCTGATTCTGCAGTGCCTTCAGAGAGCTGTCTGCAACCGATGCCTTGTAACAGGTGCAGCCATGCCGTGCTAAGTGTGTGTTGAGTTACGTTTCAGAAACAACAGAAAAAGGTATATGTCCTTTCTCTTCAGGCACCTGAATTTCACCTCGTGTGAAATAGGCACCACATTCATAGGCACAAAGTCATGTGTCCATTTTCTGCTTGCTTGAAGAGAATCAGTTCAGTGTGGCAGTCACTCAAGAGGATGTTCTGTTGATGTTTGCATAAATTACATGAATTGGAACCCTCACCACCTGAATAACTGAAGTTGATTTCAAGAAAACATCGTACATGCTGTGGCAGATTGAAGGCCTGAGAGGCCAAGTTTCTTAAGGAGGTTGTGAGGAGAGCTTTAGTCTGTTTATGCCACTCATTGGAAATATAGATGAACCATGCATCAGCTGGTTTCCACAGAAGAATGTCTCTGAGGGAAAAAAAAATGTCCTTTCTTTTGAATGAATAATTTGTGGGAAGTTGTAAGAGCTTAGCATTTGGGTACAGTGTTAATTTTTAATGCTCAGTGATGATCAGGAAGAGCTGGGAAGTGTTAGAATTTCAGTAAACATGGAGTTTGGGGAAAATCAGTCATTGCAGAGCCTGTGGGGGTTAATGTTCATGCTTTCCCTATGGTTCTTCAGTTCCTGGATGTGTTGATTCTGCTCACTTCTCCTCAGGAATAATTTGGTCAGAGGGTGTTTGTGTGAGTGATAGTTCAGATGGTACCATATGTTGGCTTCATGTCGAGTCACGGGCACCCCGTACCAGAGCATTTCTTGCTGTTTCCAGGATTAACTGTAGCCCTAGGATGCTGCTGTTCTCATTGTTGGCCCTGTCCTGTTTAACACCATTACCTGCACATGCCCCCATGCTGAGCACAGTGAGCCAGGTCAATTGCCTTCCTGGAATCAGACTAAGTATCAGCTTCTCCTAGAGGCAGCTAGCAGGGAAGGAAAGCTCTGGAAACATTCATCTGAAGAAGAAAATTTTTTTAAATTATCTTCATTTTGTTGCATTCATTAATGTTTTCCCAGATGGTCTAGGCTTGACTGATTTAATGAATTTCAAGAAGTCTAAAAGTAGGTCGTAGGTTATATCCAGTTTAAATTTTGATGGATGCTTCCCAATTGACTTTCATACTGGGTTGGCAACCTAACCCCTCTCAGCAATAGATGGGGTAGGTCTTTCTACACATTCCCAACACATGATTGCCAGCAGTGCCCCTCTTCATTTTGACAGTCTGGAAAGGTGAAAGTTATGTTTTAAAATATTATTTTGATCTCATGAAATGTGTATGTGGTTAACTATTTCTGACAGTACTGGAGCATGAACTCGGGGCCTCACTCTTACTTAGCTTGCGTGCCCAGCTTGCACTCTGCCATTTGAACCACGCCTCCAACTCTGCTTTTTGCTGGCTATTTTGGAGATGAGTCCTTTGGATTTTTTTTTTCCACCTGGGCCAGTTTGGAACCATAAACCCAAATATCAACCTCCCAAGTGGCTAGTAATACAGGCATAAGCCACTGGTGAACAGCTTATCTCTTTTAATTTTACTACAGTTTATCAATAATGACTTTATACACTTTGACACCATTTGCAGTTCTTGTTTTGGTGAGTTACCTGTTCATGTCCTGTTTTCATTTTTTTTTTAGGGTTTCTGTCTTGGCTTGCTAAATTCATAGGAGTTTTATATTTTATAGTCATTAAGCATTTGAATTTTCTCCCAGTCTTTTTTTTTCAGTCATTTGGCTTGAACGCTGAGCCTGGCCACTGGCTCCTTTTGAGGTTAGCACTTTACCACTTGAGTCACAGTGCCATTTCTGGCTTTTTCTGTGATTAACTGGAGATCAGAGTCTCACAGACTTTCCTGCCCAGGCTGGCTTTGAACTGTGATTCCCAGCTCTCAGCTTTCTGAGTAGCTAGGATTATAGGCATGGGCCACCAACACCCAGCTGAGTAATTTTTTTTCTAATTAATATATTGTATAGTACAAAAATAATTTTAATCTAATCCATTAGTAGTGTTCTTTAGAACTTCTGCCATTTTTTTTAAAGCTTAGAGAAACCTGCCTGTCAGAGATTTGTAAGAATTATTTTTATGTCCTCTATTAATTCTGTACTTTTAATTTTATACTTGCATCTTCAGGGTGCTTGGGACTTATTTGTATATATCACATAAAATAGAGATTCGCCTTTTATTCTTTTCTCATGCTCAGCCACATCTCAATAAGGCCACAGTGTTATTTTAAAAATGTCTACAGTTAGCTTTATCTGCTTCCAGACTTTCAAGTTTTCTCCTCTGCCTCATTTGGGTCAGGCTTTCTCTAGGAAGGAGGTGAGACACCAGGGTGGAGTCTGAACTGAGTAAAGAGATGTCTGAGCAGGGTATTCAGAGAAGCAGAGCATGCCACGCAGAGAGGAAGCAGGTAGGAAGGTCCTGTGGCCTACGATGTTAAATAAGGCAAGGCTGCCTGAGAACAGTCAGGTAAAAAAGGTGGTACCTCATGCACAAGGGGCTCCCATTCTCTTGTAGAGAAGATATGAAGTCTTTGCACACTATTGGGCCTCGTGTAGTCTGGCTCTGCATTCCTAGCAAGCCTTGTCTCCATCCAAGCCCTGCCTGGTTTCATACATGGTTTGTCACACTGTGTTCTGTCTTGCTTCTGGGCTCCCTGACTCTACCCTCCTTTTCTGGTCCTGAGAGACCCTGCTCCTTACTCCTTTCCTCTTCCCTCCTTCTCCACCTGGCTGGCCTCTTCTAGGAAGCCCTGTGCCTCTTCCCACTCACATCTCTTCGCATGCCATTGCACTTGTCAGGCAAGACTGGAACTGTCTCTTGGAATCTATTTCCCTATGGGGACTGGATGATTGTTGAAGTCAGAAACTGGCTCTTACTCATCTTTGTATTCTCATCATCTAAGCATGGAGCCTGGAACACAGACAATTTGTTCAGTGATATCTGTTGACTGAATGAGTGAACAGGATTTAAAAGATCGTTGCCCTTCTTAAAATGTCAGCTTTGTTGTGCAGCATAACACACACACACACACACACACACACACACACACACACACACACTCTGCAGCACAGCTCAGAAACAACATCTGTTAGCTTTTCTCTTTGCAGAGGAGAGAGAGGTTGCCACCACAACATTTGTAGTCACATGTGGGAGGGAGATGTTCACCTGACTTGTGCTTAGAGTTTCTGGGGGAGACTGTGACTAATTTCTGGGCCACTTCTGTCTTACAATAATGCATGTGTCAGTATTTTAGCCTAACACCTCATGTGTATCACCTCACAAGACAGCTGTGGAAGAAGTGGCGGCAGAAGGGAAGGAGGGTACTACAGTCTGAGCAAGATACAGGAAGTAAAGAAGCGAAGCAATGGGAAGAATGCTAGGGAAGCAGCCTTTTGTATTATGTTCAAGGCGTAATGGTTATACACCTCTCTCTCTCTTTTTTTTTTCCTCTTTGGTGCCGGTCTTAAACTCGGAGCCTGGGCACTGTCCCTGAGCTTTTATGTTCCAGGCTTGAGTCACGGCTCCACTTCTGGCTTTTTTTTTTTTTTTTTTGGTAGCTTAAAGAGTCTTACAGATTTTCCTGCACAGATTGGCTTCAAAGCATGATTCTCACATCTCAGCCTCCTGAGTAACTAGGATTACAGGGGTGAGCCACCAGTGCCTAGCCATCTGCCTTTCTTTTTAATTGCTTCTCAAATTGTTACATATGAAACTGAGTTGGCATAAGCTACTGACGACCTCAGGTTTTTATTTGCACTAACATGATGCAGCTGCACAAAAATCTAATGCTGTATTGACATTCCCACACAGCTAGTTTAAACCACTCAGCAATAGCACTGTGTGTACCTGCTTCATACTTTAGTATTCTGTACTGCTTTCCTTCTATGCCAAGTACATAGTAATGTTCTGTCTTGGTGTTTATTGATAGTTTCTCCACTTAAAGGGTGGGGCGGGGGAAGAAGTAAACAAATGGATCTGAATCATTCTTTATACAAATAACCCACCTTCTATCCTACCTTCACCCTAGTTCCTACTGTGATTTCCAACAAAAGAAGAAAGATAAAATAAAGGACGATAAAGAAACTTCTGCAAGGCTAGTCCAAGTCTTTAAAATCCAGTATCTTCCATACAGAATAAGTTTCCCACCAATGGGGGTATTTTTTTTTTTCCTATGCCTGCTATAGTCTGCTTTATGAAATGTGAAGATTACAGGAAAACAAGTGGATCAAGCAAGTTCCCTGACCTTGCGTTATTATATGTTCCCCTAAATCTGCTGCTGAAGGATGGAAGTTCATGCACAGGGAATGGAAGTGGTAGAAGGTTTGCTGGGTCCCATCTGCACAGGGATACACCACAGGCTTGGTGCTGTCTGCCTGTGTATGCACATTCAAGACACTGAAAAATACTAGTCTTTCCAAACCAATGCTTTCTACTCTTGAGGGAAAATACACAGGCTGAATTGTTAGGAAAGGGTTATTCTGGGATACCAGGAACTTCCCTTCACAGATGGTCTTTCAGAAGGCAAAGTAATGTAAACTCATCTATGAGGAAGCTTCATGCCAGTTTTACCACATCCAGCAAGTGGGAGAAGCTATGGCCCCAGGAAGGTACTACATTAATTCCCTCTAGTCTCATTAGTCCTTGGGGCCAGGCATTGTGCCTTACACCTGTAGACCTAGCTGCTTGGGAAACAGGGCTCAGGAAGATCTTGGCCCAATGCCTGCCTGGACAAGAAGCATGAGCTCCTAATCTGAAAACTAACCTAAAGCACAAAGGACTGGAGGTGTAGCTGTAGTGGTAGAACACCAAGTTTAAAGTCCTGAGTTTAAATTCTGTTACTGTTACTCTGTTAGGAATGAACATAGCTCTTATTCCCTCGTTCCATAGTCCATTGAAACCTGGTCACTTACGTGTCCTTGAGATTTTTTTTTAACATTTGCTGATTTGAGTAAGCATTAGGCTTTTTATTAGAAATAAAAGTCACTAACACCAGGGGAAGAAATAAAATACACCATAGAATAAAAAGGGAACTCCATATTAAATCGTTCCCATTCTCAAGAGAGGTTTCTCTGGTTGGCTGAGGGAATGAGAGAGCTTTTAGAAGTCCCAATATGCCAGGCCTTACTTCTCCCTCTTCCAGGGACAGCAGTATTGAGAGCTAGTAAGCTTTCATTTCTGACTCCAACGCAACACCCTGGCACCAAACCCAGGATCATGTTTTCCAGGGGCTTCCCAGGAATTAATTTCAAGCTCATTGGATAGAGACCTTTATTCAGGACCATAAAAGATGTTCACACACACACACACACACACACACACACACACACACACACACACACACACACACACACACACACACAGGGGAGGAACACAAAACACTACATAAAAAGTTAATAAATAAAATGCTTTATGTTCTGAAAGCAGGTTACCCTCATAAAAATGTATTGACTAGTCATGCTTATAAGAGGGCTAGAAAATCAGAGACCTACTCTGGTAGTGGGCCTTGAACTCAGAGCCTCACAAACTCACTTTGGCTTTTTCACACAAGGCAAGGCTGGTACTCTACTTCTGGAACCATGGCTCCACTTCCAGTTTTTGGTGGTTGCTTGTAGATAAGAGTCTCTCAGGGGCTGGGAAGGTGGCTCAGTGGTAGAGTGTTTGCTTTGCATGCATGAGGCCCTGGGTTTGATTACTCAGCACCACCTAAGCAGAAAAAGCCAGAAGTGGCGCTGTAGCTCAAGTAGTAGAGTGCTAGCCTTGAGCTGAAGAGCTGAGGGACAATGCGCAGGCCCAGAGTTCAGGCCCCACAACCAACCAAAAAAAAAGTCTCATAGGCTTTTCATCCCAGACTGGCTTTGAACTTGATCCTCAGATCTCAATCTCTTGAGTAGTTAGGATGACAGGCGTGAGCCACCAGCTTATGTTAAAAGTTCCTAGTTATATAGTTAACAAGTTCTTTCTTAAAAGCACAGTGTTTTCCAGATTATTTCTCTCAGTGTCTACTAGGATGTGGAGTTGCACAATATGGTTTGTTGGTTAGCAAGGTAACCTGTAGCTGAGGATGTAGCATAGCGGTAGGTTCTTGCCAGGCCTGTATAAGACTTTTCATTTGATCCCACTGCCAGAAAACAAGAAAATAAAGAATAAGGAGAACAGTCTTTTGAGAGTACAAATTCATCTTCTAGTTTCACTACTTTCAAACAGGTGACCTTGGGAAGAGCATTTGGCTGTCCCTGTTTCCCCTCCTATAAATGGGGGGCATATTAGTACTTCCCCACAGGGTATTGCCATGGCCAAATGATGTGGTGCATGTCCCTGGCCCATAGCAAGGGAAGGGATGAGGTAAATAGTCCCCACTGCTGTTTAAGCTGTGTAAGTTTTGACTGATGGGTCTGTGTGTCCTGTCCTTTCCCTTCCAACAGGAAAATGGCAAATGATCGATGGTGGTCTCCTGAACATCACCAAGGTGTCTTTCTCTGACCGAGGTAAATACACGTGCGTGGCTTCTAATGTCTATGGTACTGTGAACAACACAGTAACGCTGAGAGTCATTTTCACCTCGGGAGACATGGGTGTCTACTACATGGTCGTCTGCCTCGTGGCCTTCACCATCGTCATGATCCTCAACATCACCCGCCTGTGTATGATGAGCAGCCACCTGAAGAAGACCGAGAAAGCCATCAACGAGTTCTTTCGGACAGAAGGTGCAGAGAAGCTGCAAAAGGCCTTTGAGATCGCCAAACGCATCCCCATCATCACCTCAGCCAAAACGCTAGAGCTTGCCAAAGTGACCCAGTTCAAGACCATGGAATTTGCCCGTTACATTGAAGAGCTTGCCAGGAGTGTACCTCTTCCCCCTCTCATTATGAACTGCAGGACCATCATGGAGGAGATCATGGAAGTGGTTGGGCTGGAGGAGCAGGGGCAGAATTTTGTGAGACACACCCCAGAAGGCCAGGAGGCCACAGACAGGGATGAGGTGTACACCATCCCCAACTCTCTGAAGCGAAGCGACTCTCCCACGGCCGACTCAGATGCCTCATCACTGCACGAACAGCCCCAGCAGATTGCCATCAAGGTGTCTGTGCATCCCCAGGCCAAAAAAGATCACGTGGAGGATGACCAAGAGGGGGTACAGTTAGAGGGCAAAGATGAAGAGGAGACGGAAGCATCGGCCGAACGTTCACCAGAAACTGGAGAGCCTTCCACAGACATCACATCCACTGAGCTCACGTCTGAAGAGCCCACGCCAGTGGAGGTATTGGATCGAGGACTGCCCCCAGCTCAGATGGAGACAACAGAGCCAGCAGTGACAGATGACAAAAACACCTGCATTATTTATGAAAGCCATGTCTAATACCAACTCCGAAAAGCTATGCATATCCAGAAAATCAGGAGCTCTCCTTGTCATACAGATTAGTACGCACTTGCCGCTAAGCCTTACCAGGAGACTCTCATCCCTTAGGTAGGAGTGATGCCATTTTCCAAGGGGAAAACACCTGCGTGCAGCTTACATGACTGGAATCTCCCCGGTAGAAAAGGATGCGAGAAACATCAGGGTGCAGAACTGATAATATCGGACAGAAAGGCTCTGTCCGTGTGATTTGAATTTTAGAGGCCATTCTCTGCCAAATCCCTTAATTGGTGATGCCCTTTAGGCACAAAGTCCACTTACTGTAAGAGATCCTGAGTTCAAGAGCCCTGTCCAATGCACACCGCATTGCTTTTCCTTTTAAAAATTATAGGTCTGTTACCATAGCAAATGCACGTACATGGGTTTGTTGCACTTTTCTTCTCAGTTTAAATTAGCTTCACTGTTCCTTTATAATGGGATAGTTGTTATGATAGTAATACTAATTGATCTTTCTGATTTATCTTCCTTGCCATTTTTATCCTTCGTTTTCCTTAGAAACTTACCTCATAGGCTTTTTGGTATCAGCCTCCCCCAGTTCCAGGGCTGATAGCTAGAAGTCATTTGTAATGTTCCGAAGTAGTTTCTGTGCTCCTTGATTCTGGTGTTGGCTTTGTTTTTCGTTCTCCAGGTCTATTTTCATACAGTACTGTTGCTTTTTTTGTTGTTTTTTTTAAGTTCCCCACTGAAGCTGCTGTTGTGAAACTGAGAAAACCTTTGCCCCAGAATAGCACTTTAATAGTCAAATAAAAATGTGTTTACTTGTCCAGTTCTAAGAGCCTTTTGGTGAACTCAGCTACGGTGTGGAGGAAGGATTAAAGTTTGAAAGTACACCCTGTGCTCCTATAAAAGAATGGTTTACATTTAAGTAACATCATTCCTACAGTTGTAGATATCAGCTTCCCAGAAGGGTTTCCCAGGACTAATACACGTGATAGGACATCAGGAGAAGGATCTGTGAAGTACATAACCAGGTCCACTTTTGTAACCTGCATAGCTGACTTACTGACCCTTGAAAGGCAGAGGGAAAGATTAAGGTGAAGGTATAGAGAACCATGCCATTAACTTTATGCCAAAATTGTTGAATTATGAATTAGTCCCACAAGACATCAGTATATGCAAATATGCAAGGCAGCGTGATGTTACAGAACAAAGATGAAGCTAGTCATCCAGAGGTTTAGCACCTACCTTACCGTGCCAATAAACAGCTGCCTGGCTTTGGGCAAGTCTGTGCCTCCACTTCCCTCTGTGTAACATGAAGCCCTCTAACATCACTAAACAGTCTCAGTCTCTCAGAGAGCCACATCGATAAGATCATCTCTGCTCTTTTTCGCAGCTACTTTACAGATTTTTTTCTTTCATCTCTAGTTTCCTCCAATATTGTTACACTGCATTGCTTACTCAACGAGGTTCCACTTTTGAAAAAAAAATCTCAAAATTTCGAACAATTTATGGAACCCCTCTGCCTCTCAAAAAACCACTAGGACCGCTTGCACAATTCACATGTAATCTTAGTGGGAAGCAGTGGTATTGCTTCATTTTCACTTATAAGCATGGGAGACCAGAACCTTAAAATAGGTGTAAGGGTGCTGGTCGCATTGGTATGGTAAGCATGACAGGGTTTATGTGGTAACTTAGCAATGGGAGAGAGGACACAGATACTCAGTCCTCACTCTCTTACCATCTGGGGAAGCGATCATGGACAGATTCCCTTCAGTACTCAGTGGTCCATAAGACCCCTCCACGCTCAAATATTTAGTTTTTTGGGAAGTTTGAAAACTATGACAGTCCCCACCATACCACATAAGCAGATGGGTATGTGACACTGGACATTTTTGTGATCCAAACTTTTTTGTGTATGTATCAGTTGTGGGGTCTGAACTGAGGGCCTGGACACTGTCCCTGAGACTTTCTGCCTAAGGATTGCACTCTACCACTTTGAGTCACAACTTTACTGCCAGTTTTCTGATGGTTAACTGGAGATAAGTGTCTCACAGACTTTCCTGCTCAGGCTGGCTTCAAATGGCAGTCCTCATATCTCAGGGTCCTGAGTTGCTAGGATTTACAGGCATGATCCACCAGCACCTGGCTTTGTGATCCCAAACTTTTATAGCCTCTGCAGTTGAGGGTAGTGGGCTTGGATTTAGAAGTGACCTTGATATTCCTATTCATAAATAAAATGGACATTAAAGGCAACTTTACAAGATGATGACATTTAACTAGACATCCCTCTGAAGAGAAATTACCTGTTCCTATCTAGTTAGAACTATTTCAAGCGTCACCTAAAAAATTTAGTAGTAAGCAATCAGTGGGACCATGACTCATGTTTGGGCTCCCTGCAAAAGCATTTATATATGTAGATTGCAGAAACTCTTAGAACATAAAAAGTTTTCCAATTGTTTGTTTAAAAAATTGCTATATTTGAATTAGATGCCCAAAGCAACAAAAGGGAATTGCAAACATTTTGTGATACTGTGTGAACTTTTCTCCATTCTGCTCAGTTCTCACTCCACCTAAACTCAGCGTAGGTTTCCACATGGAAAGAAGGGCAGCCGTTCTGTGTAGGTGTTGACTGGGGCCATCCATTCTGTGTAGATATTAATTAGGGATAATAAACTAAAATTGGGCAGATTTTTTTGTGGGGGAGGGTAGGTAGCAAGAGTTGAAATGTGTGACCAAAGAATGGTTCTGAATTGGTTTTGCTATTTTAAATGGCAGTGAGGTAGATTGTGTAGACTTTTGAAAACTTCCTCTTTAAGAAATCAAAATGCTATTATGTAACAATAGACAACTTAAAGAAGCTTGGCTTATGATGAGAATTTCTCTTTTCATACACCTCACAGCATCTTTAGGAAATGGTAGACCCTCCTGCTAAAATGGGAATTTCAGAAGACCTCATGATTCTCAGCCATTTTGTTCAAAAACTAAAGTGAACTGTCCAGCCTCTTAGAAATTCAAAGGAGTGCAGTGGAATGTGAGCCTGAGCACATTGTACTTGGACAACTTGGGCAGTTTTTAAAGTTTAACACTACGTCCCTTTAGATCTTATACAGGTCATGCTTTTTAAAAAAAAAAAAAAAATCTGGTTTCAGAGTCATTCTGGTCATATCCCAGCAATTTTTTTTTCTTGAAATTCTAAAAATTCTTTACATATATGTGCATATTTAGTTCACTTAGGTGATCTATAAACTTGGATGGTATTTATTCTAAATGGGAAATAAAAAAGAATTTTATATAAAAATTATGTAATTTATAATGGTTTTGTTTTATATATTATATTTTCATATCTTTAGGGGCAGATCTGCTGCTATGATCATCTTTTTGTACATCATATGTGGCAAAAAGTGATACTAATACTTGACTAAAATCTCTAGGAACCAAATGTGGATATATGTGATCTGTCTAGAAGTGGGTCTAGAAACGTCTGAATGTGCTCACTCATCCCAAGCATTGTCGTGTCATGTCTTCTGTCCAAATGTCTTGGATGCTTACGGGCTTTCCTTGGTACCAGCTAAGGCTACAACACCTGATAACCCATACCGTGGACTCTGGAATCTTCTTCCCTTCTTTACATTATTTTATTATTTGTTTCATCTTTCATTACATAAGTTTAGGTTGTTTAAACTTCCCTTTGAAGGGCAAATGTGAAATACAAGAAAGCAACTTTATGGATGGATGAGTCTTAACTATAGTGGTGGAAATCGTTTTCCTAGACTGATAATATGTTTTAAGTCTAAAGCTTAGGCTGTTGTTCACTGGGATCTAGATCTTCTGAGCTCTGTAGCACATGAAAAAAATGTGAGGCACAAAGAATATTTGCATGTTTTGAACAGGCACACTCTGCATGTGAGTGCACCGATAGAAACCAGCAAGCATGACTGCAAAACTGGTCAAGCACTGGAAGGAATTTTTTAGAAAGCCAAATCAGTTAACCTTTTGGTATGTGGTTTGGAATACAACTGTTTTATTAGTGCTAGAACTCTTAAAGCTCTGCAAACTGGGATTTCTTTTCAGTGTTTTCATTCAATTAAAAAAATGGAATATTAACTTCTGTTTCAGATATCTTATTTTTTTCAGCACAGTTCCATATTCTGCCTAGCTCACTTACTCTTTTGGCAGTCCCTTAAGTAATTACTATTTCTATTCTTACTTTTTAAACTGACTTACTGGGTCTCTTTGAATATCTACCAAACCTCATTGTGTATTCATATACTTATTCTGAGTACCTGTTACCTACAAGATTGTTTGCTTTTACATTCAACTATTCACTGTAAAGTCCTTTAAGAAGCCAACAAAGTTCATTTTCTTAATGACTTTTTTTGGCTTCTTTAGTGACTCACAAATTTGGATTAACAAATCAACTGTGGGAGAAATAATCAAATAAAACAGAATTGTTTTTATTTTTTCTGAAGGACTAAACACTTAACTGTTATGTAAGAAAATTATAAGGATGATTTTCATCTTTAAAATGAGGTTCTTGTTAGAGAAAGAACTTACAGAGGATCTAATACTAAGAATGCTACAATCAAAATCAAAGCTAGAAAATGCAAAGGTAGAAAGTAAGTATTTCTAAGAATATTCTAGCATAAATTATTATTCATTTAATCAATATCTAAGACCACATAAGGTATCTTTCCTACACCACAAAACCATGATCAACACTGCACCTACATATGTTTCACTGTATTTCAGTAGTTCTGGTTGTTCTTTGTTAAATTAGAAGGCAAGATTAAAAACAAAATGTACCTGGAAAGAAATGTCAATTTGCTGATTTTGAGAACTATAAACTGTTCACCTTTTAAAAAATAATTTAAAGATGTAAACAAATGACTATAAGTTGATATTACTGTAGCAAAAAAACTAAAACCATGTGATCCATCCTGTATTTTGATTGTTGCTTTAATAAAGGGTTGCACAGGTGTGTGGAATGTGTATCATGTCCCCTCATAGGGCACATAATTATAGATGGATTGACATACAATGATACAAAAGCTTTAGTTCTTTCCTTTACTTTTTGCAGCACTTCTTGGGAAAAGAGAAGAAAGGAATTTGTTTATATATAAAACTGCAACATTTTTCCTTAATTCAGAAGACTTAACTCTATCCTGACAAACCTTAGAGGACCTTATTTTTATCTATGTCAACAAATAATTTTTAGCATATGACATCAAGCTTGCTGTCAAGAATCTAAAAAGCTGGGCGCTGGTAGCTCTTGCCTATAATCCTAGCTATTCAGGGGGCAAAGGTCTGAAGATTGTGGTTCAAAGCTAGCCCAGGTAGGAAGATCCATGAGACTCTTATTTCCAATTAACCATCAGAAAACGAAGTGGCACTGTAGCTCAAAAAGTGATAGATTGCTAGCCTTGAGCAAAAACACTCAAGGACAGGGTCCAGGAGCTGAGTTCAGGCCCCATGACTGACAACAAAAAGAGGAAGGGAGGGAGGGAGGGAGGGAGGGAAGGGAGGAAGGAAGGAACAAAGGAAGGAAGGAAAAGAAAGAGGAAGAAAGAAAGAAGATCTAAAAAAGATCCAGAAACTTACACACATGCAGACATTGCACAGAGACACAGGGAACAGGTGTCAGCAGCAGAGCTACCACGAAACAACACCAAAGCCAGGCCAAACCCCAGGACATTTTGCGTAGGTGCTCTTTTTTTAATGTATACATTTTTATTGTAAAGATACTGTACAGAGGAGCTACAGTTCCCTGAGGAGGGTGATGAGTACATTTCCTATCGAGCATTTGTTTTTCCCCTACCATCCCTTCCCTCCCACCTCTTCGCTCTGCTCCCCTGAAGTTGTAAAGTTGGTTTTCAACATAGTGTCTTTTTTTTTCTTTTTATTAATATATATTTTTATTGTAAAATATTGTACAGAGAGGTTACAATTACATGAGCAAGGTAATGAGTTCATTTCCTATCGAGCATTGTTTTTTTATTATTTTTTTTTATATTGTAAAGATACTATACAGAGGGTTACAGTTACATGAGTGAGGTTATGAGTACACTTCCTCTTGAACATTGTTACCCCCTCCATTGTTTTCCCCCTACCATCCCCTCCCTCCCTACCTTCCCTGAGGTTCTTTTTTTTTTTTTTTTGATTGTGATTAAGTGATTACATAATTTCCGGAATTTCACAGTATTGTGGAATAATGATGCTCATTTAAAGTCACAAGTTCATTCTAACTTTCCTGGAGCAAATTGTCTATCACGGTCTATAACATATAATGGTGTTCACATGTTATATACCATATATGTGATCAGCAGCATGGGGATATTTAGTAGTGGTTCGACCAGAAGAGTGGGAGTTCTTTGTTTTTTAAGTCCTGTTAGTTTTGTCGTATCACCTAACATTTTGGATTTAGCATCCACTTATCAGGGAGACCATGTACTGTTTGTCTCTTCACTCTTGGCTTACCTCGCTCAACATGATTCCTTCTAGCTCCATCCATTTCCCTGCAAATGCCATTATTTTGTCATTTCTAATGGCTGCATAATATTCCATTGTGTACAGATACCACAATTTTTGGATCCATTCATCTGTGGTGGGGCATCTGGGTTGTTTCCATAGCCTAGCTATTGTGAACAGTGCTGCAATAAACATGGAGGTGCACGTGTCCTTGTATTTGGTTCCTGTTCAGGGTAGATGCCTAGAAGTGGTATGACTGGGTCGTAAGGGAGGTCAATCTTTAGCTTTCTAAGGACCCTCCAGACTGCTTTCCAAAGTGGTTGTATGAGTGTACATTCCCACCAGCAGTGTAATAGGGTTCCTCTTTCTCCACATCCCCTCCAGCATTTGTCGTTGGCTGATTTGTGGATGTGGGCCATTCTGACTGGGGTAAGGTGGTATCTCAGGGTTGTCTTTATTAGCATTTCCTTCACCACCAGGGATGATGAACATTTCCTCATGTGTTTCTTTGCCATTTTTATTTCTTCATTTGAGAAGTCCCTCTTTAGTTCCCTTGCCCATTTAGTAATTGGTTTGTTAGGTTTGGGAGGGATTAGTTTCTTGAGTTCCCTATATATACAGGATTCAACATAGTGTCTTGTACATCTCTGTTACACTAGGTCAACCTGTATCCTTATTTCAGCCTTGTTATTTCCCTTCCCCTCTGACAAGCAATTATGTCATAGATGTTCAGTTCCTTCAGATGACGTAAGTTGTTGAGAAAAGGTGGGGGTGGGGGATGAAGGAAGTATTTCCAGCCAGGTAGACCAAACAAGCAATCTAAATAGTTGAATTAACTGTAACCCCTCTGTATATTTTCTTTACAATAAAAAAAAAATTTAGGTCTGGGAAGGTGGCTCGGGTAGAGCATGCATGAAGCCTTGCATGCATGAAGCCCTAGGTTCAATTCCTCAGCACCACATAAGCAGAAAAAGCCTGAAGTTGTGCTGTGGCTCAAGTGGTAGAGTGCTAGCCTTGAGCTGAAGAGCTGAGGGACAGCACCCAGGTCCAGAATTCAGGCCCCATGACCCACAAAAAATAAAAATAGAGTTACTCAGTAGCACCCTTATACATTTTTTCCCTTGACTATCTCAAGTTTAAAAAAAAAAGAATTATGCTGGCATTAATAAACAAATACACATCACAGGAGAGAAAATAAATTCGTGTTCTAACTGGAAATTTTTGATATATCCATATTTTCAAGATCCAAAACAAAAACAGTTGCTAATTTTGTTGTTGTTGCAAGTTGTGGAATGTGTGGTCTGCATGGACCTTGAAAGCAGGTAGGTAAGACACTCACATACGCACGTAGTTGGGACGATGGAGTGTGACTGTGAGATTATCTGTTGTACCATCTTTCCTTCCGTGTCCCAGGCAACTCCTAGTTCTGCTGTGTTTGAAAATTATAACTGAGGGCTCTCTACCACAGGCAGTGGGAACATGTGTTGTTGATAAGTAGAGTCAAAACCTTAAACGCTGGAAACATCTCTGCCATCATAAAATTAATTTCTTTACTGTCAACACAAAATGAAAATTGTAAAGGTATCTGTATAAAACACAGGATAACAACAAAAGGTTGGGCACTCTCTGAAACTAGTACATGGCAGACATGAGTGGGCAGTTTCTGCCAACAGGGATGTTATATTACTCGTGTATTCGTTACTGTGATGAGAGAGTGCAGGCAAGCTGGCTTTATAAAGAAAAGAGGTTGGTTCAGCTCAGTTTTAGATGGCCAAAATCTAGCAAAGATTCTTGTCAGAGATGATCTTGGCTATACCAACTCAGGGTGGATGGCGATGGCAGATGACAGGTTTCTAGTTCATCTCTAGATACAAGAAATTAGAAAGGATCTCAGTCCATTATGATGGCACACCCCAGTAATCTAATGACTTCACCGGACTCCCCCTGCCTTTTTTTTTTTGTCAGTTGTGGGGCTTGAAATTAGGTCTGGGTACTGTCCTAGAGCCTCTCCATGTTCAAGGCTAGCGCTCCACCACTTGAGCCACAGCACCACTTTTGGTTTTTGAGTGGTGAGTTGGAGATAAGATTCTCACAGGGACTTCCTGCACAGGCTGGCTTCAAACCACGATCCTCAGATCTATCTCAGCCTCCTGAGTAGCTACGATTAACAGGTGTGAGCCATTGGTACCCAGCTGGACCCCACTTCTTAAAAGGTCTTGGGGACCAAGCCTCCTAACACTTGAAACTTCAGGAAACACTGACCACATTCCAACAGCAATTGTGAAAGATAGAACCAGATACCCTCCCCTGACATGCCCTGTGCCTAAAGTTCACTGGAGAATTGTCCATCAGCCAGGAAAAAAGAAAGATTTCACCAGCTGACTCATTGTTTCCACATGCTGCCTTCTTTTTAACATGGACAAAGTGTATTTCAGTATTATACACTTTCCATCATTCTCTTTCCTCTTCCCCTGTCGCACCCCCCACTGCCGAGCTCAATGCTCCTGCATTTTCATAGGACCTCGAGAAGTGACCTAGAGATATATGCATTAAATGCCTTACTGAGGCATTTTAAAATAGCGAGTTAAAGCCAAATTCATTTATACTCTTAGGCAAAATTAACATACCAGGAGTAAAATAATTTTCCTAAAATATTAACAAATATTAAGGTTTGAAACAATCAGGTTAAAATAGGAATAAGGATTTGTCAAAACCTCAATTTCTTGTTACCCCATGTATTTCCCACCGCTGGTCCAGTGCTCATTGTAAAAAGTGATTTGGTGAGCACTTTGTGCAGCCACTAAATGGAGCAGATTTTCCTGACAATTGAATTCTCTCTCTGAGTTTGCAATAAGAATCCCCATGAAACATCCAAGACAATCACCTGAGCGCAGAGATATAACAAAATTAGGATAATGTGCTGTTCATCCTAGGTGCTGTACAATGTCTGTGTCTTGACCTTTTTGTGATTCATACAAAACTGATACATATGTTGGGAATCCCTTAAGTGATCATTGCCTCTGTTTTTTGGTTTTTTGGGGGTTTTCTTTTAGGTTTTTTGTTCATTTGTTTGCCATTCCTGGGGCTTGAACTCAGGCCCTGGGCCTTGTTTCTGAGCTTCTTTTGCTCAAAGATAGCATTTTACCACTGAAGCCACAGTACCACTTCCACCTTTTTCTGAGTAGTTAATTGGAGATAAGAATCTCACAGGCTTTAGCTGTTGGTGCTGGCTTCTAACTGTGATCCTCAATCTCAGCCTCCTGAGTAGCTAAGATAATAGGTGTGAGAAACCAGCATCTGTCAAGAAGTTATATAATTCCAATCACCAAGATTCTCACATGGAATGCAAAAATGGAAGGTTGAAGAAAAAAATATATACTGACTCTCCATAATGTTAGGTGATGTTTTCTCTCCTTTTCCCTGACAGTATTAACTCAAATGTCTGCCTAGTAGACCAAGTTAATTATGTATGATGTAAAGTGTTTGATTATGGAGTATATTCCATGAGAACACTCATCTGGCATGTACTAGATACTTTATCCATTTAACATAAAAGTTAATTTTAATGCTGATTACATCTGAATTTAAAACTGAAACATTGAAAAAATCCTAGGATTTGGCATTCTGTCTGTAGAATCATTTTCATCTAATGAAGAAGAGACTCGAAGACATGAAGACTCTAGAAAATTTAAATTGCTTGGCCTACATTATGTTTGTAGGAAGAAAGAGAATAATGACAGCTGATAGAGAGAATGTGGTTAGATGTTATAATGTACAGAGTTTAACTTTGCATTATCTTCCACCCATTCTAAATTATTTGCCTTCATAGGAATTACTGAGATACATTACTGCTATTTCTGATGTTACCAGATCCTGAGAAAATACAAATTTAAAAATATTTTTTTATCATATTGACTACTTCACGTTACCATCTCCCATTCCCTAATGAGCTTGAGGTATTAAATTAAGCACATTTTACTGTCTACGAATCTTTTGAAATTGCTGTGTTTCATATATACATACAAACTGTTAGTAACCCAACTATATTAAAATTCCACAACCAATTATTCTGGATCAGGGAGGGGTTTACAGTATGGTTATAAAAGCAGAGCAGTTACATGATCTGTGAATGTTTGCAGCTTAAAAAGGAAGACGCTCTGCTTTAACACAAAAATACTCCATTACTGGAAGCACAAAAAGTTAAACATGTTTTCTCCAACTCCATGTATGGATTTGGACTTTTCTTCTTAATCATTTTTCTTTGAAACTCTGTAAACACTTCAAAATAAAAATCAGGGCTGGGAAGGTGGCTCAATGGTAGCGTGCTTGCCTTGCATGCATGAGGCCCTGGGTTCGATTCCTCAGCACCACATAAGCAGAAAAAAAAAGCCAGAAATAGAGCTGTGGCTCAAGTGGTAGAGTGCTCACCTTGAGCTGAAGAGCTTGGGGACAGCGCCCAGGCCCAGAGTTCAGGCCCCACAACTGGAAAAAAAAAAAAAAAAAAAGTAAATAAATAAATAAAAATTAAAACCAATCCAATTAGAGAACCTTCAGCTTATTTTCTTTTATTAAATATTTACACTCACCAGCATAGAAAATGCTAATAGAGTCATGGTTTCCTTGTTTATGCAAGAATAAAGAGAGTTGCTATGCTTAAGGACACCTAATTTAGGACATTAGCCACACATAAAGTTGTCTTGCACCAACTGGTAGCAAAAATATATGTATACTCACAGTGGTGGTCTCAGCCCTAACTACTGTTCTGAAAATGTGTTTTACTATGTGTTGCATGGATAATTTTATCTTTCTGTGATAGAGCACATATATTTTAACTTTATTTTGAGATAATTATAGATTTACATGTGATTGAAGACCTAATACAAATTACTAGGCACTGGTGGCTCTTGTCTGTAATCCTAGCTACTCAGAAGGAAGGATTTCTGGAAGGACTGAAGATTAAGGCCAGCCTGGGCAAAAAGTTCTTGAGATACCCCTTCCCACCCCCCACCCCAATCTTGCCCAGTAGCTGGGTTTGTCATCCAGCTATGGCAGGAAGTATAAATAGGGGGATCATTGTCTAGGGCAGTGAAAGCAAAAATAAGACTTCAAAAATACCACAAAGACTTACGTTCAAAACCCAGTAACAAAAAACAAAACAAAACAAAACCAACAAAACACAAAAAAACACAAAAAATAACAAAAAAACCAGTAACACCAAATAATAATAGTAGTAATAATCATAATACAGAGATATCTCATGAAACCTTAATTCTTCCCTGTGGTGACATTTTCCTAAATGACCATTTAATATCATTACCAAGATACTGACATTGCTATTCATATAATTCCCCAATCTTACTCAGATTCCCCGTTTTACATGTACAGGAATGTGTGTGTGTTGTCTATACAACCCTATCTTGTGTAGTTTTATATTTCATCCTCCATAGACAAGATACAGAACAGTACAAACACTGTCGGAATGCTTCATGTTATTATACATAAACAAATCTACTTCCCACTCCAGAACATGTCTTAAACAGTAAACTGCTTTATTAGACAAGTGATGCTTCTGAGGAGCCAACTGTAACAAGTGTATTTTTCTAGAAAAATGTTTTGTTTTTGTTTTTACTTTTATGGTTTTTACTTTTGTGTTGGTACTTGGGCTTGAACTCAGGGCCTGTCTCTTAGCTTTTTCAGCTAATACTAGCATTCTACCACTTGAGCTATACCTCCACTTGGTATTTTGGTGATTATTTGCCTGGGCTGGTTTAGATCCTATCCCCCTGAGTAGGTTTATAGCCATGAGCCACCAGTACCTGGCAAATTCCCAGTTTCTTAGTGTCTGATTTTTCATCATTTTACAACAACTTGTTAATGAAGATGTGGTTTGTGAGGGAAAAGGGCATTCACCCCAAATCCTATAAAGCCCTTGAGAACTTGGACTGTGAGGCCCACAGGCCACTGTACGGGAACTCTTGCATAGTCCATTCATACCCTAAACTGCTTTTGCAGCCAAGAGGTATGGAATACAAAAGACAAGTCTGGCTTTTAAGTGTCTTTCAAACAACTCAGGGAAATAGTGCTCCTCCATTATCTAAAATGTCCAGTACTCACTACAACTCCAGAAGTTCCAAAACTAAGGCTACAGAGATGAAGACCAAGAAAGTCATGAGCAAAGGCTCAACCTATGGGATACTAGTAGTCTCACGTTCTCCTTGCACTCCTCTCTCTGGAATAGGCCAGGGCTTAATATTATACCCAATATATAGCTAATAAAAAAATCTACTAAAACATTAATTCTGATATTTTAAAAAAGCATTGAGCCCACTACTTGAGAGGTTAAGGCAGGAAGATTGTGAGTTTGAGGCCAATCTGGGCTACATATTAAAGCCCTGTTTCAAAACACAGTAACAAAAAAGGAAGAAAAAGAAGGAAAGGAAGGAGGGAAGGAAGGGAAAGAAGGAGGGAAGGAAGGGAAAGAAGGAGGGAAGGAAGGGAAGGAAGGAGGGAAGGAAGAAAGGAAGGAGGGAAGGAAGGAAGGAAACATTAAGGGCCTTGGTAAGAACTGAATACCAATTATTATCTCCAGTACTGAAATTAAGACAACTGATTGTAATGTTGAGAAATGAAAGAAAAAAGCTTTGGTCTAAACTTAAGGATTCAGGAGGTCAGTTCCTGTAGAGGATCACTCAGTAAGTCTGGAAAAGTCCCCATTCTAAGCCAGTAAAATTCCTTCATGAAAGATTAATTCCCTCAGAGTAATACTTTTCTTATTATGCAAATTCCCTAGGCCTCGGATCATTCTCAGTATGAATTGGCATAGTCTTGTTACTCTACCTAATGAGGTTAGAGGTAAGCACTCTAAAGATAAGAGTTTTGAGAGGGCAGAGCAGGAGAGCAATGCTGACTCCAAGGAGACTTCTACAGATGACCAGAGTGGAGGTTCTGAGCCTCCAGAAAGCATCATCAATCTTGGAAACATAACAGAGGAGCTGCCCTAGGAAAAGGAGAAAAACTGAAAAATTACTTCTTCATACTATTAACCAGGCTAGACATAGCCACATAGCAATGCCTTTTTAATTATATGCATTGCATGTGTTAATGCACATTTGCTTTGCATATGTTAATGTGTATTAGCATATGTAAACAGATCTGTATAATGACATAAAATTATACTCATTACCTAATGTCTAGTCAAAAAATTTCTTCAGTCTCAGTCATGGTTGTCTCCTCAATGAAGAGAACCCCAATGCTTATAGCACTTTGGGTTAATTGGTATCTTCCTTCTAAAAGCCAAATTGTCAAATCATTTTCAAGAATTGATTCCCACTGTTAATGGAGGACAGACTTTCAGCCAGGCAGCAACATGAAAGTATCTTTCACATGCTCATTTATTTTGAGTACGATGCATTAATTGGAATACTTAGCTTTCATGAGGCTCAAAAATGTTCTTTATAATTACCCAGCAGTGATTGCTAATCTCTATTCTCTACTCAAAACTCAGGATTAAGCACAAAAACCTAGCAACTATAAGGTTCAATTTCATTGTTTTCTGTTTCATTCTATTTTCTCTGCACATGATATATTTCACAGTCTTACAGAATTGTTTGTACTCATTTATTAATACTAGAATGTATCAGAAAATATTAAGATAAATGTAGGAAAGCCCTTAAATCTTTTTTTTTTTTTTTTTTGCCGGTCATGGGGCCTAAACTCTGGGCCTGGGCACTGTCCCTCAGCTCTTCAGCTCAAGGCTAGGACTCTACCCCTTGAACCATAGCGCCACTTCCGGCTTTTTCTGTTTATGTGGTGCTGAGGAATCGAACCCAGGGCCTCATGCATGCAAGGCAAGCGCTCTACCACTGAGCCAACTTCCCAGCCCCTTAAATCTTTTTGTTTTTAAATTTTTCCTCCATACCAGTACTCACCATTCTTCTTCCCCATCCTTCCAGGCCTTTAGCTCACGAAATAGAAATAATTTTCCCAAACCCATAGTAACAAGTCCACATAGGTGTTGCAACTACTAGACCAGGGGATTGGTAAAGACAAGAGACATTCATGTCTCCACAATGCTTTCCAGGAAATCCTAAAAATCACTGATACTAGGTGAAACAGTATCTCTTCTCATTACATTAGGATTTATGTTTATCTTTGAAGCATGTGAATCTACTTCACTGGACTTTATAAAGCTGGGGCTTCATACATCCTAGGTGAGCATTCTATATCGAGCTATCTTCTTAGCCCAAAAAGTACATTTTGGAGCATCTTTTTAAACTTAAAACCCTACCATACGAACCCTCATTCCCAAGATGATCACCACAGTCTAGATGTTTCTGTTCCTTTAAGATCTTGATGCAGAAACCTAATGTCCTATTCAATAGTGTTTGGAGGTGATCAAGTCACAAGAGATATGCCAAGGAAAAGAGATATGCCAAGGAAGCTTATTAGTGCTACTTCTCCCAGATGAGCATAAAGGGAAAAGAGGCCATCCATGGGAGGGCTTTCCCTCACCATCTTGATCCACATCTCAGCTCAGAATTGTGAGAAATACATTTCTGCTGCTTATAAACTCCTTAGGCTATGAAGCTAAGCCTACAATGGCTTTTGTTAGCAGATTTATCTCTTTTCTAGAATAGAATATCGCTTTATTTTTCCCATTTTCTTTTCCTTCTCACTTTAATTCAATATTTAAAATGGCTTTTGTCCACTCTCAGTTTGTCATGATGAAACTATTTTCTACCATTAGAAATCTGTGGTGAGTTCAAGAGACATAAATTGCTACAGTTATTTCTACACGATTACATGTCATGTTCTCTGCAAGCACTTTATAGTCACTGGAAGATCAAGCAGAACAAAACCACCTACTTTCTAAGTGCTCATACTGACAGACACAGCAAATGAACCCAGTTTCAGGTTAACAGATGAACTATCTAGAGATTCCTGGCTAATTTCCAGGGATTTTTAGAATTCAAAAGAAACAGAATTGGAGAATCCAATCCCTGGAGGCTGGTCTGCATTTTCTACCATCTTTAACAAGCCGGACTTCCTCCAATGGAAAACTAATCTCTAAATGAGGAGTTTAAAGGTTCATTTCCCAGGTGAGAAGGTGTGCTTATTCTCCAGGCTTGTTTTGAAGCCAGAGACAGAGTATGTAGCACATAGATCTCCTAATCTCAGGACCAGAAAATACTACTCATGAGGTAAAGGGATTCTCTGATGTTGGAGGAGAAGAAATAAGCATTAATGGCATGATATATTAATTTAAATAAGTAGTTGACTCCATGATCCTGAGCCTATACATTCTTATGGACATGCATTTGCTTACTGCCAACCCATGCCTATGTTTGGGCAGGGCCATCATTCATGGAGGGGTGAGGGATTTCAATGGCTCACTGCCACGTGAAAGAAATTACTGTTTCCTCTCCATCATCCTCCTTCTGTGCATCCCCATTTTGGTCTGTGTATGGAGCAGGTTGGATCTGTGTAATGAAAACCATTGTTTTCTTCCTGTCTGAAAGCCAGCCAGATGCTCACAGGTAGGCCAGTATTTGAAAGTACACAGGCAACCATCCACCACAGGGGATATTAGCATTTCCTGGTCCTCCTCCTTCCGCCATTGTATTTGGCAATGTTCTCCAGAGGCACAGAGCCAATAGAATTCATATATAATTACAAGAGGGGATTTATTGGATTGATTTGCATAACCTGAGACCAGATAGTCTCACAACAACCCACTGAAAGCTGTAGAGACAGGGAAATCAGATGACTGGTTTGCAAAGCTGGAAGCTTCTAAACATGAGAGTCCAATGATACAGCCACAAAGAAAAAAAAAAAAAGAGGCTGAAGCCTGGTAAGTCCAAAAAGCCTCCGGTGGTAATGCCCAAAGGCTGTGGCAACCACAAAAATATAAACAAACAAAAACACCCGTGTGAGCAGAATGGAGCCTGTGTGTGCGGGAACATGCCTGTGCTACCCGTCCTGTCCTTCCGGACATCCCACCCGCCCCAGCCTATTTGATTCTGCTGCCCGCGTTAAGGGTGTGTCTCCCCTGTGTCTCCCCTCTCAGTTCACTGTCCCGTGGGTTGTGTCTGGAAACCGCCTTATACATATACCTACAAGTTACCAAATTTCTAGATATCCCCCAATCCAGTCAAACTGACAACCAAGATTGGCCATCACAGTCACAAATCCCTCTGGTCACTTTCAGCCATTCTATGTGGCGAATGCATACAAATCCACTGACACACATCAACAAAAGATGGTTTCAATGTGGTGGGTTAACTTTCTCCCCATATTCTACAAGAAATGCTGAAAGATATGCTATATATCTGCTTAATATCACTTCTCTCCTCCAAACAACCATGTTCAGGTCTAATTTACTTCCACTAAAGCTGTCTCCTACTCAACTAACCTGATTCCTGATCAGGACTTGAACTCAGGTCTTCATGCTCGACCAGTTTAGTTGCTCATAAATGGCCTCTCCCCTTTGAACCATGCTTCCAGTTTAACTTTATGCTGGTCTTTTGAACTTTTTGGCTCAGGCAGGCTTTGGACTGTGATCCTCCAAATCTCAGCCTTCTGAGTAACTAGGATTACAGGCATAAGCAACCCACACTGGGATTCATAGTCCTCTGGAGTCCACCCTTGACTGACCTGCATGCTGCCACCGTCACTACTATCAGAACAGCCTTTGTTTACCCCTGAGCAAACTCATCTTAGAAACCTCAAACTATGAGGTGGAACTGCATCCCAATGGGACAATGTGACAAGCCTTGTACACACCCATGTGCCCTACTTATTATACATTTCCACCACACACACACACACACACACACACACACACACACACACACACACACATTCCACACAGCCAGCACTCCACTGTCAGCCCAGAGGCAGGAGAGAACATAAAAGTGCTCAGATTTGCCATCCGTCCTGATAGATGTATAGAACAGGAACTGAGGGAAAACTGACAGAAATCTTGCCAAAGTGAGAGTCATATCTACAACCGTACAAATCTACTTTTACCTTCCCACATGCTCACTGATGAACCAGATAGAAAAGCCCTGTCAGGAAAGCAGGCAACTCTCCATCCTGTTCTAACACTACTCTCCCATCCTAAAATGTCTAAGCAAACACAGCTAGAGGCAGAATTCAGAGACAAATTCCAAACATACTTCTGCTGGTATTTATGGTCTCTCTGTCACTCTCTCATGAATGGCTAAATTCTACAATTACTGCCTCGAAATTGAGAGAAGGACTTTAGACTCCAGAGCTCTTCTTTTACCTAGTATCTGGCCAGGTGGTGCCTTTTTACATAATACTAGCCCTGTCTGACCTCACTGTAAATCCTCTCCCCCGCATTTGCAGAGTCCTGAGAAGCTGGACCCAAGATATTATTAAGTAATTAATTAATAAATTAAGATATTATAATTAAGTGGTAGAAATCCTTTCCAATCTTTGAAAATCACATCTCCCTACTTACTTCATGGAAATGAATGAGGCCTATTTACTGCTCAGTTTTCCTCATCTAATAACCTCTGGGACTACTCCTGTTTAAAACTGGGCATTAAATTTAACCTAAACAGCTAGGGAAATTGAAGACATATTATAGAGAGTGGTTCTAGATATTTCTCACACTTATAAGTGTGAGTGGGGGGTTATACCACTTTTCTGTAGGTCTGATTTCTGAGTTTTTACAGGATCTTCTGTGTTAATTGGTAACTAGGTAATTAAATATCTTGTCCGGATGCCTACAACGATCAGCCTTGTACTAACTTTGATAAGTAAAGTCTGTGAGTGGGAGGGAGAAGAAGACATAGGCTTTGCTTTTTTTTTTTTTTTTTGGGTCCGGTCATGGGGCCTGAACTCTGGGCCTGGGCGCTGTCCCTCAGCTCTTCAGCTCAAGGCTAGCGCTCTACCACTTGAGCCACAGCGCCACTTCCGGCTTTTTTCTTTTTGCTTATGTGGTGCTGAGGAATCGAACCCAGGGCCTCAAGCATGCAAGGCAAGCACTCTACCACTGAGCCACCTTCCCAGCCCCTAAGCTTTGCTTTTATAATAGAATTCTTGATTTCTTGATAGTGATTTATGTGAGCTCTGGGCTCATGAAGAAGTGATGCTGATTAGTAAAGCAAAATCATCTCTTTTGTAAAGTTCAAGTGATCATGTTCAGATGAAAGGCCAGAAAGTACTTTTAATTTAGAAAATATTCCAGAAGCATCTGTCTGTTTTCCAAACTCTATTTCATATGAAGAGCAACTTAGTTTTCCAAGGCATCATATCCTAGTTGAGATGATTCTGAACTCATCATTCACTTGATATATTCTCCCACATATAGTCTCTGACTAAGCTAACAAAGTCAGTGCTTTCCTTCTTCTACAAATTTTTATTACAATTAATTTTAATCAGAGAATAAAGTTTTGAGCATGAGAAGACTTAACAGGAAGCCAGTCACTCCTTAATAACTCAACTTTATTTATTGGAAAGTAATAGGTGCTCCAGGTAATACAAAAATGGCTGTTGTTCTCAAGGACTCCATCTTTTTTGTAGAGTTCGTAAAATGAATAGTCAATAACTGTTTCAGATGATAAAAGTGGTAAATGACTTCATTGAAAAAGAAATAAAATCTGTCAGGGGCCAGTGGCTCAAGCCTGTAATCCTAACTACTCAGGAGGCAGGGATCTAAGGAATCAGAGGATCATGGCTCAAAGCTAGTCTGGAGAGAAAAGTCTACATGACTCCATCTCCAATATAACCAGCAAAAAGTTGAGCTTGAGGAATGGCTCAAAGTGGTATAACACCAACCAAGAGGGGGGAACCCTGAAAATTCCAGGAAGAAATAACTGAGGGGTTAGGAGAACTCTGAGAAGAAAAAGATAGTTTCAGATAATCTGAAAAGGGTTGTTAAAATTTGATCAGATAAAGGAAAGGAAGAAAGACCATCTAAGAAACAGATTCAGTGTGAGATAAGGGGTCAAAGCAAAAACGGCAAAGGCAATTCAAGGGCTAGACCACAGAATGCACAAGAATACAGAATGTGACAGACAGCTATAAGACCAGAGGTGGAAGACCCATCGGAGCTGGTATATGGAATGCCAGTGTAAACTACTGGCTTTATCTTTAGACAATATGGCCTCTTTAAGAAGTGGAACAGGACAGGACCCTGCTTTAGAAAGAGAAATGGACCAAAAGTAGAGGCACAGAGTACAACTCCAGGGCCTTTTTTTTTTTTTAATGACTTAACTATAAGTGACAAGAGTGAACCAGGTTAGTGGATGTGAGGATCTACAGAGCAAAAGCAAAGGATATAAAAACTATTTCTATCCTCCGTTTTAGCCATGCCTCTCCACCATGCACAGCCGGGGCCAGCAGCTCAGTAAATAAACTTTTCCTGCCTGAATAGCGCGTGGTGCTCTCTTCATCCGCTACCTAATGAAACCTACCTATTTAATATACCTTACGTATGGTGCCGTGACTTGGATGGGGTTTTTGAGTTGGAAATGTTAGAATTTCCTAACCACCCCTTTTCTGCAAACCGAACTGCCTTAAGACACCACTTGAGACTGTTCACCAATACCGTTGCTGGCCTTCATATTCACACCTCTTCTCTACTCTGCACTGCAGAAGACTACATATACATCACCCATGGTCAACAAATACATTAGTCAATGTCTTCTAGAACCATCAGAATTTATAGACATCTAGAAAAGAAAAAATTTTATGGGGATTGGCTTAAGAAATTACAGAGGCTGAAGGTAACCATGGTATACAATCTGCAATCTGGAGACCAAGCATTGCCAATGGTATAATTCAGTGAAATTTGAAGACCTGAGAGTCATGAAAGGGAAAGGCAATAGTATAATTCTCAATCTATCGCTGGAAATTGGAGAACTTGGCAGGGCTGAGAGTGGTGTATGGGGCATTAGTATAATCCTACATCTGAAGGCCCAAGAACCAGGAGCTCTGATGCCCAAGAGCAAGAGAAAATGAATGTCTCAGCCCAACAAGAGAGAGAACCAACTTATCCCTCCTCACATTGATGAATGCCAATATTCTTCAACCAGTCTAATCAACCAGTCTAATCTCTTCCAGAAACACCTGTGACAGGGGCCATGGCAAATTTTCACATCAAATTACCCATCAGAACCAGCACTAGCATTGTTTCCATATTAGGTACACCTTTCAGCTGAAGTTTCTATTCCTACTTATTTTTAAAATTGGGTCCAGGCACTCTGTTGAGAACTTTTCTGGAATGATTTAAAATGTTTTCATTCTAACAGTACATGAAAGAAATAACATCATTTCATTTTATAGATAAGGAAACTGAGCTATCCAGGGTTACACAGTTAGAAAATAATGAGAATTGGAGTTCAATCCTAGGTCCAACTGAATAAAAATCCTGTATTTATATCTATAGTGTTATGTTACTGCCAGTTGGGATATCTGGAAAAGCCAATGATGTTCACTTAAGGGAGTTCTGAAGCTAAGAAAGCTGTTAAATTAACTACAGTCCTTGATTAAGTAGTAGCTACAAAGAGGAAAACAGGGAGTAACAAAGGAAGGTCACAAATGGAATGTGAATTCTGGAACAGAATGAGAAAAGAGATCCAAAGACAGAATTTGGGCCATGATGCAAGAGATACTTAGCAAGAAGGAGGTTTCTGGAAGGCCAAAATCTTAATTTTTAACCTAGAAGAACACTCAGATGAATCATGCAATGATTTGCCTCCTTTCCCCCAAACTTCTACCTTTGCCCCAACCTTCTATTTTCAACAGTGTCATGAAATAAGTCCTAGGAAGAGTTTAGAACCAACTTTTTTTTTAGCAGACATTAGTCTCCTTTTTTTTTTAATGTTAGAATATTGTAAGTTTTAGAGTACACAGAAAAACAAAGTTTTGTCTAGATAGGAATAAGAAAAGGATTTGTTGTGAATATTTCATGAAACTTCTGATAAAGCTGTCTAATAAATACAAGAGAGCAGGGAAAAAAAGTATTTCTAGGGCTAGGAATGTAGCTCAGTGGTAGAGTGCTTGACTAGCATGCATGAAGCCCTGGGTTCGATTCCTCAGTACCACATAAAAAGCCCAAAGTGACACTGTGTCTCAGGTTGTAGAGTGCTAGCCTTTAACAAAAGAAGCTCAGGGACAGTGCCCGTGCCCTGAGTTCAAAGGCATAGGACTGGCAAAAACCAAACAAAAACAAAAACTATTTCTAAAGCGACATCAGGGGCTTGGCAACACATGGTTTCTGGAGATTTTCAGCCTGAACCACTAAGAATATGATTTTTTGCCATTAGCAGAGCAAGAAAGAACACATATGAAGAAAGCTGAATACTTTGAAGGATTTGAAGTTCTTAATGTGATTTTAAGACATCCATCTTAAATACTTAATTTGCTTAAGTATTGAAGTATATAAACATATGATGTGACAGAAACGATCGTTTGTGTTCATTTTACTTTTCTCCCTCAATTACAAAATGCCTTCTCCATAGACTCCTTCACATGGCAGGAACTTAAGACCTGCTGACAGATGAAAATAGGCAATGGTATTTTGTATATTGAAAATAACAAAATTACAGAGTTTTCTAGCAATTAAAAATGGAATCAATAACTAGGTCTTCTGTTGGAAATAGATACTTGTTATCTTTAAGAACATGCTGTATTATTACTAGAAAGTACCATTGTTGTCCAAGTCTCCAAACCACTGAAGAGATGAGAATTACAGAGACATATTAAGTGAACATGCATAAAGGAAATGACTTAGTTAGGATCTTTTCAGCTGTTAGTAGGAAAAAAAAATCCCAACTCAAAATGACTTAATAGATAATATGAAGTTAAATCTCATATAGGGAGTCTGGAAGAGGGGCGGCTCCCAGATTGGTTAAATCATCAGCATTATTAAACACCAAGGTTTTCTCCAGTCATCAACAGTCCCATTTACTCCCTGGTCCTTCAACTAGGTTCCCTAGAGACCTTCAAATGCCAAAATCCATTGCATATTTTCACATACCACTTGGAAGTGAAAGGGGAATATTTCCTCTTAGTCTTGTTTCTTAGTGTGTTTTTCTTTGTTTTAAGGAAGGGAGTTTTTTTCTTATAGATACATCTGTCAGACTTTCCCTCTCCCTTTATTGTCCAGATCAGTCACTGGTTCATACAAGTCCTAATAAATGCCTTGTAGTGTGGTTAAGGTCATTCAGTCCTGAGACCAACAGAACAGCTACTAAGGGGTGAACATGATCAAAGTTACATGGTGATTAGGGAACAAAACAGTGATATTTGCCACATTCCAAATGAGAGAAAGAGAGAGAGAGAGAATATAACAAGAGAAAAAATCAACTTGAGAGTAAACTTAAAGAATTAATTTTTAAAATGTATTTATTCATATCAAATAGTTGTACAAAATGGATTTCAATTCCAGAACAGAGGATAAATGTATTTAACATTTTATATCAGTGAAGTTAGAAAATAACAATAATCTGTTCTATTTTCTGTCACTACTTCAGGGGACACTCATGGTCAAAGATAACAGGATCGAGTGACATGAAATTCTTGATTTCTCTAGTCACCATCATTTTGAAGAGAATTCTAAGTCACCTAAGAGCTAACACTTAATCTTGTGAGAATGTATTAGTGAACCTTCTTCAGGCTGCCAAACTGACCTTGGGACAGGCAGCCATTCAGAATATGAACAGTACAAATAAACAAGCCAAGAGAGAGCTATAAATTCTAAATGCCCTCCTGAAGCAGTTCCTGAGAAAAAGTAGATTCATTTTGATTTCTGTCTTGACAGATAATGATCACCAAGGCATGATTATGACCAGAAATGCAGCTTCTACAGTCTAAAGAGCTATTAGCCTGGTCTCCTCTGATCATTGTTTACGCTTCCTTGATTAAAAAAAAAACATCCTGGGGTGTGTTTACACCAATCCATCACAGATTCATGAAATATTCTACCTATGAATCCAATTTTTTTCCCTTTGTCTGACCTCCAAGACTTTCCTTACTTGATTAGAGATGGTAATACAGGTCTAGGCTTGGGTAAGATAAATGTTACACACACAGCTCAGCTTTTGGTATCTTCAGATCAATGTACATGGTAATTTTAATATACCAGTTTGATTTGTGCATTTTCTATCACCTGGCAACATAAGCACTTTGAGAAAAATCATGCCAAAGTATCCACAGCCAATTCATAGTCTATCTGTACTTACTCAGCAAGATGACAGACAATCATATTTGCATTTCTATTCATCAGGCCATAAGCAAACACCATCAAACCTGGTGGTTAAGGACATCATTTGTTGGTTGTATTGTCCATATTGTTCTTTCTCTTCTATTTATGTTCTTGCAAATCAATCTGAAGCATATATACAAATATATACATAATGTGTGTGCATATATATACCAAATGTTATTACAGAAAATGGATTGTATGTATATACACATATAATATGCATTATATACATATATATACCAAAACCAAAATATCATAATAGCAAATAATAATATATAAACCACATATATGTATATATGTCCATATATATGTACACCAAAATAAAAAATATTGTCATATCAAATGGTAAATGATGATGATTAAACCTATCATCCATTCAACAGATGTTGTTAATTGGTTACTAATATATGTTCTAGGAACTATTCTAGTTGGTGGAAATGCAGCAATTGGGAAATCAAAGTCTCCTCACTTTACAATTCACATACACTTTCTTAGAAATTATTACTAAAACCCTTGTCTGTATTTAGATTGCAACTACACAGAAATCTGTATGAGTTGGCCATGGTCCAAGAATTTATAATTATAACAAGTTGCATCAGAACAAAGGCACCAAACCTAATAATTCTTTTACTCATCCAACAAGAATTTACTGAGTACCTGCTATTCTGAGAACTTGGCAAGCAGCGTCTGAGGATCTCTTCCCTCAAGTAGCTACTATTAAAAGGGGAGGGGGGATCAAACAACAAATAAACGTGTACGTAGCATATTGGATGGTGGTCAAGTCCTTAGGTAAATAATAGTGCAGGGCAGGGTAAAGAGAAAAGATATGGGTTGGTCTTTGGATGTACTACTAGATGAACAAAGACCTCAATAATAGGAAAAAATACAAAAATCCCTGTAGAAGAAAATGGTTGGGATTTTCCAGGATAAGCAAGCGTGAGTTAGCAAAGGGAATAGAAATAAGGTAGGGGAGAAGCTGATCTTGTATGTGGGACCTTGTCAAAACTATGGCTTTAATTTGAATAAAAAAATATTTAGAGGGCTTTTGGGGTCATGAACACGATATAGTCTAGGAAACCTACAGCATGGTGGGGAGTAACGTGAGCTTTAAAGTTGATGTATAAAATGAAATCGTGTGATATCTTACTTCCATGAAACTGTCCCCAGTAAAACATAGCAACTCCATCCCTGTGTACCAGTGTCTTTAGTCTGTGCTGTCTGAAAGGTCTTAGACATGCTCATCCTGCCCATTTCCATTCTGGCATTAGCAATGCACCCTGTGGTAGGCATTTGCCATTCTTTTAGTCAGCACAATATTGAAAGCTCCATTTCATGTTTAAGGCATCTCCTGTCCCATGAAACAGAGCCTACCTGTCACTCCAGAAGCTGGGGATGCCTAATACTCTACCAGCCTCCCTTGCAGCTTACACTCAGAGGTTGAATAGGAGGACAGTGAGCTGGGAGGCTGGGGATACGCAGCATCCATCCTGTTGAACAGGTACAAGGACCAGA